TCATAGTCTATCGGAGCTCGAAGATTTGCACTCCTAATTTGGCACGAAGGCCGATTTTCGTATATACATGGATATGTACATCTAAGTCACTTCATAAGGAATATAAATTTTCCTATATCCTTAGTTTGGTGTATGAATCCAGCTTTAAAAAAGTAGATGAGTAACATTTTTTCCAAATCATAGAATGCAAAATTGTACATACAGGGTAAGACGAGATGATTGAGATCAATGCATCAGGAAAAAAAATATTGTTATTTTTACTAAGTGTACTGTGGCCAAAAATATCCCGTAGTATAAAAAGTGGCAGGCTATACAATTTGAAATAATTTAAAGGTGAAAATGGGATCAAGGATGAGAAACAAATTATGAATGACTGGAAAACTGAGGTAGAGTAAGACGAAGTGATTGATATTTTTAAAAATTTAAAGAAGAACATGCTTAAAATTGGTAAGAAATAAAGTTTTAGAAGAGGTAGACAAATGAGGATGGCTTCGTAAGTGAGCCTTCGCACGGCCATTGAAATCAGAAGCATGAAGAATGCTTGTTACCCTATAAATTTGAGAAATAGATAATAAAGAAAAAGCATTGTTTTTTGACAGAAAAGAAGTTATGGGGAATAAGACAATATAAAGAGGTATTGAAATCACACGAAATATTTACGTGATAAATATATACGAGCCACATAAATAAGAACATTAGCTCAGAATCGAAGCCAAATGAGAAATGCATCGAACAGGCAAATCAGTGGAGAAGATAAAAAACTAAGAAACAAGTAACGACGGAGAGAATGGAAACGAAAGGCTCTGAGTTAATTCAGTCAAGCCTGTAGAAACCCAGCAATCCGATCGATTAGCCACAAACAAGCACGCGTATGTGGATAGTCTCCATGATTTTCTTTGATTTCGAGATTACTTTCCGTTTCACCGTGTGTTTGCATCTGATATTGTCCTGGTGAAAGGAAATCAACTGCATTGTGCGAAGCCTGTTCACTGACTACGACAGTCTCCCGAAAATATACTGGCAAGCAAATCAGTGTGCCAAGGATCAGGCTCAGAAAGGCTAAAAAAAGACAAGAAGCAAAGATAGCCAGACTTGCAAGACCAAGCAGACGCAAGTGACGTGCAAATGTGGCAACTGTAGGTGAAGGGGAGATCAAGTCTGAAAATGAGGTGGCCATGGAGCAAGCCCGAGTCCAGCGTGTCATTAGCTGAGAAAGCCGACTCCATATCCAGATGAAGATAGTAAAGCATAGACGAAACAGAACGATCAAGCACCCACTTATCAGTTTGGAACATAACGAAGATCGAGACACGTGAGAAGTATGGATAAAATGTGATTCTGAGTTTTCGGGAAGCTGCCGACGACGGAAAGTTAGATCAAAGAGACGACGCCGGTTGCTACGGCCACCGAAAGCCTCCTCGAGGGCAGGAGAAGGATGCGAGTCTGCCAGGGTGAAGCGGACGCGTTTTTGAGGACTAAGAAAGGCCTGAGGAACTAAAAGTAAGATATAAAGAAACATATAGAGCGAGAACCAAATGGTTAGAAAAAATCAACAAAACAATTAATATGAGATGTATTCACCCATTTTCGGTTAAGGTGATGAAGGGCTGGTATGAGTTGAGCTGACGTTTTCATTGAATTTCACATAGCCTTGCTTTCCCAAAAGTTGTTCTCATCCAGAGTGGATTGCAGTTTTGACCTCGCATTGGTCTTATCAACAACCCCAGCGGGAGTCGAACAGTGACAGTGCAGAATAGGAGCTTGACACGTTAAACACTCTTCCACATTGCCGCGAGTGCCCTTGGGTCACGCCAACTCTACTCATATTATTGTGGGAAAATTCTTCTACCAGTCCTTCATCACCCTAACGAAATTGGGTGAATACATTTCATATTACTAAATAACTTAGACCATAATGCATCCTTCACGACTAAAGTCAGTATTTCTTTTAGTATGTGACTACGCACCATATAAATGAGAAGTTATGCTAATCTATTAGCTGATAAAGTTAGTGAAAAGAGCTACGCCTTCTAACAAGTAAACTATAGTATTACTGTATTAATAACTATTTTGTAGTGACACATCATTACACCTTTCTAATACGATTGCTAGCTTTGTTACAATACTTACGCAGCCCTTGCCAAACATATTTTTTGACGCATAAGCCACTAGAGAGTGTGAACAATCATCACACTTTGCCTCCCGTCGACCAATCAAATCTTAAAACCGTAATGTGACTACCCTTTGAATTTAAATTATGCAAGGTTATTTCAAACAGAAAACATACTAGGCTACTCAGCCACGGTTTTTCCAACTTTCTTCCGAATCCCCTGGGACCCTGTGAGTTTAAACTGTGAACACTCGCTATTACGCACAACTTCCATTCTTAATCCTATATTAATTAAGCTGGTTATGTTTATGATATATGGTAGCACGACTTTTCCTTCTCTGTTCATCCCGGGTAATCCAACATTGTAGCCAGTAGCCGAAAATAAGCATTTTAGGTGACGGTCTAGATCAAGACCGGTGGGCCTGACAACCGAAGCCTTAATAGCAGCCTAAATATCAAACCACCATCCTAGTAGAACATCTAGTCGTTCCAGACATTAGTACGCGCCAAGTCTCTCGAAGAGGATAATCAGAATGTTGCAATAAGTGGTAAATGCCAGAGTTTACAATTTCAGCCAACCCTAGTTTTAAGTAATCAACTTGATATTCGATACGAAATGAAACAAAAGTTAAAACAAGCCCTTTATAGATTTTAAACATCTTTGGGATGACGTCGATAGCCCTACCCAACATATTCTAGGCAATAGGCAGGATCAGGATTGCTACTAAAAGATGAAGAAAAAGATTATTGAACTCAGAAGTCACGGACGCCGCTTTGGTACTAAAAGACAGGAACATGCTCCCCAAAATAGGCCTAAAAACAGCTTATTTCCCCCTCCATGTAAATCCAGATCACATAAACAAGACAGCTGTCACCATCCCTTTCGATTTGCCTAAATATATCAAGATGTCTTTTGATATTAGAAATGCGGCATAGACGTTCTAAAGACTAATGGGCCTGGTTATTTGAGGTATAGACGAAGTTTTTGTCTACATTGAGGATATTATAGCTGCTAGTGATGGCACGGAACAATAGAAACAGCACTTGTTTGCACTATATGAAAGGCTATCTCACCACCATCAAGTGATCTCCACTTAAAAAGGCCTGTTTGGCGTTGACTCTTTGACTTTTCTCAGACATCAAAGATTTTACTCTTACACGCATTGTCAAGACTTTAAGCAGTTCTCTCTGCCTCGTAAATGTGTAAAATCGCTTCACTTCGAATTGAGCAGATATGTTGAATCAGTTGAAAGAATATCCGACAAATAAAAGAAGGCACTGAAGATATGAAGACGAGGGTGGTGAGACTGCAGTACAATGGGATTCCGCCGTCCTCTTCTGACCTACGAATTACACATTTTCATACGAAATGAAAGTCGCCCCCCAACAATGTTTATATTCAACAAGAGGTGCCCTTTTGGCGAATTTACCGTGGCGTCATCACATCTGCTGTTTGCCTTGATCCCCTACCTTTCGAGTGGCTGATCCGACTCTAGTCTCCTGTCAAGGTCTGCCTCATAGGCCTTAAGGTCTGTTTATCTTTATGGTTGACCAATTTCACCAGGCTCTAGCCTCAGTGTACCTTTAGTCCAAATACTATTTCTCAAGCCTTTAGTATCACGTAGAAAGTCGCATCATCTGCAAAGCGCATTATCTTCACACATCACTCTTACATTAAACCCGTGTACCCTGAGCAAACTGTGGGCAACTAGCTCTGGTCACCTGCCCCATCTCAAGTGGATTATTAGCCCATTTGGTCACAATGTCCGATTTATGTGACCCTATCCTTCTACCTAATCACATGAAACGTCAGGCCCCCAAATTGTAGTTGTCTTTTCGAGCTGATTACTCACACTGAAAACATCTTCACTTCATTTCCGAAACTTCCTCACCCTCTTCCTTGCGATCCCTTTTCCCCTGGCTTATGCTAAATCGTTGAACTAGGCGTTTTATTTTTCTTGAACTTGTACATCTCTGCTTTCTCCGAGTTTGCGTATATAATAGGTTAAGTTATCACTAACTCTGCCCCCTTCAAATCTCCTGTTCACTAAGTTTTTTTCCCCAAGGATGTCAATGGTCTCCCTAGTCTTCCGTTTCTTTGTGCTTTCATCGTATGAGGCCCTTCTTTCTGTTGCCTTCCAATTGATTTCATGTCCAGTCTATGCGATGTGTTCCGCCATATCTGATCTTTCAGTATCCATTTTCCTACAGAGCCTTTGAAGTTCCTTGATTCTTATGCAGATTTTTCTCCAAGTTTCGCCAATATATTTCTGTTCGCAGGCGCCGCATGCTATGCAGTAAACTACCGAGCAATCCTATTTGTCTACCCTCACATGGCTTTAGTAGATGTGGTCATTTGCTCTACTGGGACACTCAAGAATAAATAGTTCCGAAAGAAGTTATATGCCGAAATAATACTCAATTTTGAGTCTCATTACAACAGCAGAATGAAGATAGGCATACTGAGGAGCGTGATCATCAGAAGCCTGCGATTAACAGACGTGGAATTCTGGGATCAAGAATTGGAAAAATTGACTTAGGGAAAGGATACCCGAGAGAAGTAATAGAAAGGCTATGAAGAGCCGATGAAAAAATACTCACGAAAGTGGATGTCTCTCTTCCTTCAAATTAGCTCAAAAAGCACGGCCAATAGTAAGAAAATGGAAAATTCAGGTGACCACGAAGGAAGAGACAACACACTTCATAAGTCTACTCACGCAACATACGAGGGTAGACAAATTGGATTGCTCGTGAGTTTACTGCATAGTTTGCGGCGCCTGCCAAAGGGAGAAGAGCAGATGTGATGACGCCACGGTAAATTCGCCAAAAGGGAACACCTTTTGTTGAATATAAACATTGCTGGAGGACTTTCATTTGATATGAAAGTGCATGAATAAGAGGTTCTTAGGTCTATCTCACCAGAAGAATACGGCTAAATTCCGTTGTAATGTAGCCGGTTGGCTTTTGTACGATGTTCAGGTTGACGCCGTCCACGAAACCTCTTCTCCCGTTTCGGGTGAAAACGGACTGAGCTATCGTCCATCATATAATGGATATCATCGGAGCTGGATCTAATTCCTGTAAAAGTCTCACGTTGAAAATAGGACAAGAAGACTATCCGGCTCTATCTTACCCCTTATATAGACTCAATTAAGCAAAATAAAATTAAAAACATAGATAGATATAGAATTGTTTGGTTAATTATCTTGCATACTGGTTCTGCTACTTTTGTTCGAGTCTGTGCCTGTATGTGTGTGTGTTACGCAAAACCGGTCCTAAATCAGAGTGATCAAAAGGCTAATTTCAGGCTCT